CTGACGGGACTTCAGAATCTAATCAATTTTGTGGTGCACTACTTACAGTGCTATTTCCCAACGAAATTTGGCGAGCGGCAACCAAGTTGCTTGAGGGACCGTTACAGGTCGGAAGGGGCAAAGGAAGAATTAAACGAAGGCCGGAATGTTTGAGCAGTAATCCGCTTATCACTACCCACCCCGTTCGGTGCAATGGCAGCGCGGTTCTGACTATCCTACGCTACGTCCGACGTAGTATGGGATTATTTCTTGTTTGTTTTCATTGGAGCTTCATGGGCGGTTTCTGCCAGAGAATGTCCGGCTACTAATGAAAACTAGTTTTCTCCTCAAAAGCCTTCAGTTTTGATAGGAACCTGAAAACAAGGAATCAGGTAGCGTGGAATGAAGGTGCATCTGCTTGGATCTACTACTCGTCCATCAGGTTTTATCGACTGAGACGCTAACTCCAGTAGAACCTGGAAAACCATGAGACTGAACTTCCCCTGACCTTTCAAGCATGAAATGATTTTGGAGCTTAACAAAAGCCATCCTGTGCAGCTCGTTCGGTCACAGAGGTGGACAAAACGTCATAGCACATTAAAGTACAGTCCCTTCGTGATGGGTGGTGGTGGCCAAATGGTTTAGTAGCTGCCACCAAAGTGCTTTGGACCCTATGGTCCGGGGTTCGGGACTCACCACCGCCACCAAACTTTGGTGGTAGGCAGCTTTGTTGTCGTCCGTCCTAGTCGCACGCCTAACCCAGCGGGGCCCTATGTGGTTCGACACTCTGAGCCCCAAGGATGTTACCAGTTTCCGTTACTGAACAGCAAATCTTTGCAACAATGGGGTTTATCCCGTCGGCTGTTTATCACGCCAAGGTGTGTAATAAAAGAGAGCAAAGATATTGATCTGACTATTCGTCGAGTGAGCATATGCGAACTTCCTTTGCGTACAAAAAACATCCTTAGTAAGGTGCCTGAAACGACTGCTTTCGTTTCTAGGTTCAAACCAACCATACGAAAAACGATAACACAGATATATTGTGTGGAAGGGTTAGTATTGACAAAGGGGCAACGGAAATGCGTTATTGTATAAAACTGTCTCCGGATGGAAACTGTGACACAGCATATCACGGACATGATAAGGTGACGTCCGGGATTAGACGCGGGCAGTGCTGGCTGTGGCGAGAGGATTTCGCAGTACAAGTATGACTGAATCCCCACGCAGGAATAATTTGCTGATGAAGCGGTCCTTGTTCACCGGTTTGGATTTTTTCTTTCCTTTCCCAGGACGTGGTACTTCGGTCCACATTTCCTTCACATTCTCCAGGACCATGTTACAATGCCGATCAAATGCTTTGACACGAGCTAGGAGCTTTTTATTGTTGCGACAGTTGATCAGAACCTGTGGGTAAACCAATGAAAACATGACCGTGGTATTGGTGCTAATTATGTCGAAAAAGGCTACAAAGTATGAGAACGGTGAAAATGAGGATAAATTCCTTAATCGCTGTCCAACTCACAATATACACAAAGTGCGAATGCGCAAGGCGGGTGGAGTGGGCCTGAGGGGAGTGAAAGGAAGATGACTCTAAGGTCACATAGAGTTAACAGTTTAACTGAGCGCATTTTGACTCGATAAAAATGGCAAGATGATTTATGGAACCAAAACCGAGGTCCACTGGTCTTCGTAATTGAAAACAGGCAAATAACGGAGATAATTCGGTAGTTTATTTCACGTTCCTTTCTTCATCCCTTGTATTACTTACCACACCAGGCTGTTAAATAAAGAGTACAGTTTTCACGGGGGACATTCGATCACAAGGTGTCTGGCCTTGTAAAAAGTTAAAAGCAGACCGGTGCGATGTTGCGAGTAGGGTTGAATATCCATGAATAGGGTGGGCCTCAACTTACTGAAATGGTAGCTGACGATTAGCGGTAATAATTGGGGTTGTGGTGGACTTGCATGATTAGCGCTCTCCATCATAAAACACTACATGAATCTGTATACCGTATTGGGACGTGGCAATCGCTGCCCGCCACCGCTCTAACCGTGCTCCATTTGTCCGATACGGGTTTCCGGAAGAGACAAATGAATTGTGCAATGGGGCTCAGCTTGTATGGAATAACTCTGCAGTCCTGTAGGTCGCACCTCAATAGACAAAAGGTAGAGATGAAGCCTCGAAAACAAAGATCAGATAGTTACCTTCCGTCTACCTCCAGCCCCGAAATGAATGACCGAGAAGGAAACAAGTTCTTGAAGGTCCGGGCAATACTACTCCGTTTTTGTGATACGAATGTGTGATAAACAGTAGGTTAAATCCCGCTGATCATAACGATGTATTGTTTACTCAGATGGGAAAGATGGTTTCCCACGTGAACGGTATACGCGTGAGAAACAGGCTGGTTTTAGACCTGGTCGAGGTTGTATTGACATCTTCACTCTCCGTCAAATTCTAAAACAGACACTCCTTTCGTAGACCCACCA